ATAACATGCTGGGAATTCAGCAGGCACGGTTATTATATCCTGTTTATACTGTCATTTTTCCTATCAGTAGGATATTATTTATACAGACCCCACCCATGAACTTCTTGTTTATCTTATTATAGAAATCCTCCAAATCTATAAAAAGAAACTGTATTTGTTTCTGGAACAAGCGCATGTTTTATAATTTTGCACCTCACCACATTTTTTAATTTAGCATTTTCTTTTGTTATGCACAACTTGTTCTCATTTTTTTTTCAAGGTTGATTTATTTCACATACTAAGAGTTGAATTTAACTGACTTTAAAACCATCGGTTAAAGAATAAGATTCTAGAGCAGCATGTCCTAAACTGTATTTCGGGGTAGATTTCATCAAGTAAGTTTTCTGCTAAGATATACTTGACTAATTTGTTTAAAGACAGAAAAGTGTGGGGCTGGTGCCATGGCACAGTAGGTTAATCCTCTACCTGTGGTGCTGGCATCCCATACGGGTGCTGGTTCTAGTCCTGGTTGCCCCTCTTCCAATCCAGCTCTCTGCTATGGCCTAGGAAAGCAGTAGAAGATGGCCCAAGTGCTTGGGCCCAGGCACCCGCATGGGAGACCGGAAGAAGCACCTGGCTCCTGGCTTTGGATTGGCACAGCTCCGGCCATTGTGGCCATCTGGGGAGTAAATCAACAGAAGGAAAACCTTTCTCTCTGTCTCTCCCTCTCACTGTCTGTAATTCTACCTCTCAAATAAATTAATAAAATCTTAAAAAAAAAAGTATACCTATAACTGACCAGGTATGCCTACGACCTGGTGTCCTAGGGAGTAAGCTCTGAGTGACTAGAAGTCTCATTTCCCAGCCCATGCTGTCCTAGATAGACCAATTATGAGAGCCAGGCTTTACTCATATTCTCAATATTTCCTAGTTGGCTCTCTTCTCTGCAAAAAGAAGCACTGCCCCAAGTTTACCTTGAGATCAGGATAAACTAAGTGAAAAACAGGACACTAATAACTCACAAGAAACAGAGAACTCAATAAATTGCACAAGAGGACAATGAATCAATCTGGTTATCAGTCACCCTCATTCTCCTACCAGATATAGGTAAATGAAATAGAGAAAAGAAAAATGCAAGTTTTTCTTTTCATGTTTTTAAAGATTTATTTATTTTAAAGGCAGAATAACAAAGAGAGGGAGAGACAGAAAAACATGTTCCATCTGTTCCACAAATGGCTGTAATAGCTGGGCTTGGGTAGGTTGAAGCCAGGAACTCAACCATGTCTCCTACATGCAGGGATCCAAGTAACTGGAACATCTTCTGCTGCTTTCCTAGCATATCAGCTGGGAGCTGGCTCAGAAGTGGAGCAACTGGGACTCAAACCTGTGCTCCAATACAAAATGTAGCATTGCAGGTAGTGGCTTAACTTGCTGCACCACAACATCAACCCAATTCAAGTTTCTTAATGGCAAAAAAGCATGCAGCATAAGTGGAGAAAATAAATATTTCTCTGGAGAAGTCAAAGTAGGCAATTTTTCACAGGTATAGTTTATATAAGCATCACCGATACTCTCTTTACACAAGGGAATTAGGTAAAAATGAACTGTTCAGAGTTCATGTATAATGTCAGAGTATTAAACTGAGAGGTGGTGAATTAATTTCAGGGACAAAAAACCAGATACCTAATGGGCTCAAAGAAGTCAAAGAAGTCAAACAGAGAGATGGTGAGTAATAGCTCAGATAATCTTGATAAGTAAAAACTGCTAAGACTGAGATGAGGAGGTGAAAGGCATCTCAGGTACAACGAAGAAGCAGCCAAATGAGCAGCATGTAGAAATGCCAAGTAGCTGAATTCAGTTTGGGTTATATTGAAAAGACAGCAATAAAAAGGCAGGTTGGTATCACATTATATGAACTTTCATTTTTTAGATAATGGTGAACCACCAAATACATCTGATCAAGGGTGATAAACTTGACTTTAGGGGAGAAATAAAGAAGAGGAAAAACAAGGTTGGGTAAAGTTGAAATGGGGAAAAAAGTTCTTAACATTACCAAAATCTCATAATTAGGGTAACAAAGGGAAGTTTATGTGGTAAAACAGATGAGAAATGTGTAAATATTGCTTTGAAAACTTTCAAAAACAAGAGATGGCACAGTACTAAGTGAGGCAATGTCAAACAGTGCTGATTCACTGAAGTTAATATCATGGCGGTGTACCAGTCTCATAGAATAGTAGTTTTCAAATATAAATCCCTTGAGGATCTGTTTAATGTAAATTCTGTTTTACCAGGTTTAGGGTGGTACTCTGTATTTTTACATTTCTAACAAGCTCCCAGGTGATGTCAGTTCTGCTGTTCTATTAACTATATTTTGAATAGCATGATGTAAAGACATATCTTCTAGCTTCTCTTTGCAAAACAGCAATATCTGATAAATCATGTTGCATCTAATGCTTTTACATATGCCTAAGAAATGCTTTTTAAAGTGCTTTTATTTTGATTTGAATGGATAGGTTTAAAGCTACTATTTTGGAAGTATAAGATGATTGAGGGTATTCAACGTTGTCAGAAATCAACTTTGTAATTCTGTTCCATAACACTACAATTTTGTCTTCTTTTTTAAGGCGGGCAAACTAGAAGATTCTGTTGCTTCTAGTCAAGGGAGATAGAGTAAAATATCAAAGACAATACTTCATCTTTTCATTGGACACCAGTGCATTTCTTTTCTTTTCTTTTTTTTTTTTTTTTGACAGGCAGAGTGGACAGTGAGAGAGAGAGACAGAGAGAAAGGTCTTCCTTTGCCGTTGGTTCACCCTCCAATGGCCGCCGCGGCTGGCTTGCTGCGGCTGGCGCACCGCGCCTTTCCAAAGGCAGGAGCCAGGTGCTTCTCTTGGTATCCCATGGGGTGCAGGGCCCAAGCACTTGGACCATCCTCCACTGCACTCCCTGGCCACAGCAGAGAACTGGCCTGGAAGTGGGGCAACTGGGACAGAATCCGGTGCCCCAACCGGTAATAGAGGAGGATTAGCCTACTGAGCTGCGGCACCAGCCTACCAGTGCATTTCATTAAAAGCTGCTTAATTAGTCTTTACATTGCCTTAAGTACTGTTACTTAGTCCTTGAAGATAAAGGCAAAGAATTTATTTTAAATATTCTATTGGCAAACACCTAAAGACTCAAACAATTAAATAAGGGCAGGCATTGTGGTGCAGCTGGTTGAGCCCCCAGTTAGGATGCCTATATCCCATATCAGAGTGACAGGTCAAGACCCAGCTGCTCTGATTCCAATCTAGATCTACGCTGATTCGCTGGGAAGTAGATGACGGCTCAGATACTTCAGTTTCTGCTACCCATGTGTGAGACTGCCATGGAATTCCTGGCTCCTGGCTTCAGTGTGGCCCAGTACCAGCTATTTTGGCCATTTGAGAACTGAATCGGCAGATCAATCTTTCTCCTACTCTCTGTTTGAAACAAACAAATCTTGACAACAACAAAAACCCAACAACAATGCATATACTTTCCTTTAGTTTAAAACTTCTATATGAAAGAGCATCTCTTTAATTAAAATCTTTTACCATGAACAGAGAAATCATTTACTAAAAAATTACTACTGTAATATATAACACACATGAATTATAAAAAAACTGGCCAAATCTTAAAGACATGAAGATGAAAATGAGATGAAAATTAGGACTTCGGAAATATGAAGTTTCATTTTTCACCAAATTATAACCTTTTAGGTATAAGCTTCAGTATATATCAATGTCTTTAGAGCAGAAATACCTTAAAATATAGCAAAGTACAGCTGAGGATCAGATCCAAGTTTTTTTTTTTTTTTTAAGATTTACTTATTTATGTATTTGAAAGGCAGAGCAACAGAGTGATCTTCTATCTGCTGATTCATTCCCCAAATGGCCACAGAGGCTGGAGTTGGGCCAGGTCAAAGCCAGGAGACAGGAACCCCATCCTTTCTCCCACATGGATGGCAGGGGCTAATAAGCACTTGGGCTATCATCAGCTGCTTTCCCAGGCACAGTAGCAGGGAGCTGGATTAGAAGTAGAGCAGCTGGAACTCGATTCAGCATTGATGTGTGGTGTCTGGGTTGCAAGGAGCAGCTTAACATGCTGTACCATAATGATGAGCCCAGATTCAATATTTCATTATAGATGTAAGAAAACTAAAGCACACAAGCTGAAATGCCCAAAGTCACAGAGGCTACTAGTAGCATGCTAAAACGAAAATGGGGAGATAAGTTAATTTTTATATCTACCAATGTACAAAGCATAACCATGTGTATAGTAACTACTAACGTAGTTAAAGGGTTTCTGATTCCCCTAATGACTAAAGTACAGTAAAGTTTTAGGGTCTTAATAATCATTAAGATTGAAGAAAGGAAGACCACACACCAACAATGAAAAGACATGTTACCCGCCAAACTTAATAGCCTCATAAAAATGGAATTTGAATAGAGAATGGCACATATACACCACATACTAGGGATGACCTTGGAGAAGGCAGGGAGAGGATGGTTATCCCAGAAGACAATGGTATCTATTATCTTCTCATTAATGGGTTGAGGAAAGCTTTCACATTGAGAAAAGTAGCTAAAAAAACAGTCTTATTTACCCTCAGGAATCATTTTTAAACTGGGAAAATTAGGAATTGGGTTGAAGGACTTGTTAAGCTTTCAAAAATATAAAATGTAGATAGCAGTTGGATGTGCATGTGTCATAAACTCTGCTAGAATTAGAAGAGAAATAGAGAAATCCTTTTTTAGTCATAAAATTGGGAATTCTGTTCATAAAACAAATGCTATAAAACTTACTAGCACAAGCTAAAAAAAAAATTGGAGAAGTTCCACGATATTGGAGACAATGGGTTTTAAATCACAGGCATACATTATTATGCCTAAGTTGACAGGTCTGTACTGCAATGCAGATACGCAAGCAACATTCCAATATCTGCACCAGAACACAGAGATTAGACATGATTCCAGAATAAAGGGCTTTTCAGCTCTTACCTGTTACCTGTGCAACAACTGCTTGGGAAATCCTCCGATTGGCAAGAAAGGCTTTGATTTCCTCTTTTATCACACTGCTGTCCCTCCTAACAAAAACAGAAGACCAACAATGTAGGTTGAAAGTAGAAATCCTCATCTTTGCTAAAAGAAAGGTGAATCAGAGAAGCGGGGAGAATACAGAAAGTAAGGATATACACACACAAAAAAGCAAACAGATCAAACTTGTTTGAAAATATGAAATTATAACAAATTAAGAACATCAAATATTCAAGACCTAAAACATGACACGATCAGACATGTTAGTGAATGCCACAGTAGATATAAGTCTTATACTAGAGGATGGTTAATTGCATGGTGTGTATAATTCATATCAGGAACAAGGCTGTCACACGGTATATCAAAGTTTCACTACTGAGGAATGAGTGTATCTTACACAAACATAAATCCTAGCAAAATAAAAAGCAACAACAATAAAAATTACTCATGAGTATATTGTGGGTTTATGTGTAAACTACACAACTGCATAAATAATGTTCATTTTAAAACCTTAAAAATGGTTACGGGAATTCAGCTTCATTCTTACAACTACAAAAATTCTAGTTATTTTCAGAAAGTCTTTGCTCTTTAACTTGCCTTTTTTCTGTATAAAAAAATTAAGGTGGGAATGGATTGAATATTAAATCTTATTAAAGAGGCATTTATTCATTTCCTATTATAATAAACAGAATACTAAATAATGAAAAGTATATACATTCTGTGTTCTTGGATTACATATTAGAGATCTCATTTTTCCTCCACTAAAATGCTTGTCACAAATTTTTTTATTTAAAAACTCAGCGAATTCTCAAAATGAAAATGAATGGCAAGACTGTGCTTCCCCACCATAATACACAGGATGCTGAAACAAAAATTAAACTTAAATCCTTAAACCTAAGCAATTTCTCTGAATGTGTTTTTTCTTCAGAAGGGATTACATAAGTATAGCACTCAAAGTAATACACAACAGTGGTAACTTATTATCTAATGCAGGGGGTCAGCAAATTATGGGCCATAGGCTAAATCTGGGTGCATTTGTTTTTTGTACAACATATGAGCTAAGGCCGGCGCCGTGGCTCAATAGGCTAATCCTCCACCTTGCGGCGCCGGCACACCGGGTTCTAGTCCCGGTTGGGGCGCCGGATTCTGTCCCGGTTGCCCCTCTTCCAGGCCAGCTCTCTGCTATGGCCAGGGAGTGCAGTGGAGGATGGCCCAGGTGCTTGGGCCCTGCACCCCATGGGAGACCAGGAAAAGCACCTGGATCCTGGCTCCTGCCATCGGATCAGCACGGTGCGCCGGCTGCAGCGGCGGCCATTGGAGGGTGAACCAACGGCAAAGGAAGACCTTTCTCTCTCTGTCTCTCTCACTGTCCACTCTGCCTGTCAAATAAAAAAAAAAAAAAAAAAATACAACATATGAGCTAAGAATCATTTTCACAGATGGACATCTATAATCAATTTGATGACAGAGAAGGCCAACATTGAAAAAAATTAAGCAAAACATTATCTTCCTCCCGGTTTTTTCCATTCTTATTAGTAGGCTATATTTAAAAAATTATACTCAATCATTATTCTTCTATATTGAATTTTGTCAGAAATAATTTGTGGCCTTTTTCTCCTTCATAAGTATTTAAACTGTATCCTCATTTTTCCTTTTGGCTACGAAGTCAAAAATATTATCTAACATTTTATAAAGCCCTGATCTAATAGGATCATAAAACTTAAAAATTATTTTGTAAATGAAACACAAACTACAGGGGCTAAAGTCTCTTGAGATAATTTGGAGAAACTATTTTTTTTAAAAAGATTTACTTTTTTTATTTGAAAGACAGAGTTACAGAGAGAGGTAGAGACAGAGAGAGAGGTCATCTATCAGCTGGTTCACTCTCCAGATGGCCACAACGGCTGGAGCTGAGCCCATCCGAAGCCAGGAGCCAGGAGCTTCTTCCAGGTCTCCCATGCTTTTGCGGAGGCCCATGTACTTGGGCCATCGTCCTCCGCTTTCCCAGGCCATGGCAGAGAGCTGGACTGGAAGAGGAGCAGCCGGGACCAGAACGGACGCCCACATGGGATGCCAGCATCCCAGGCCAGGGAATTAACCTGCTGCGCCACATCCCTGTCCCTGGAGAAACTATTCTATCCAAAACAATCAGTTAACATTTTAATATAAAACACGAATTTATAGAACAGGAATTCTAGCCCCTTGATAAGAAGTTACACAGTAACTCATAGAATGGCAGATGTCCTAAATAGCACTCTGGCCTCAGAAACAGCCCTTAAGGCATTCGGATATGGCTGAAGAGCCCATGAGAGTATTTTAGGCATGCAAAGCCAAGACACCCTGAAAAAAAAAAAAAAAAAAAAAAAAAAAAAAAGGAAGACCTAAATGGAAGATCGCTGCGAGTGAGATCCCAGTGGAAAGAATGGGGCCATCAAAGAAGGAGGTACCTTTCTCTGAAGGGAGGAGAGAACTTCTACTTTGACTATGACCCTGTCGGAATAAGATCGAAGTCGGCGAACTCAAAAGGCTTCCATAGCCTTGGCAACTCATGACTAGAGCCTAGGGAGATTACTGATGCCATAAATAAGAGTGTCAAATTGTTAAGTCAACAACAGGAGTCACTGTGTACTTACTTCTCATGTGGGATCTGTCCTTAGTGTGTTGTCCAATGTGAAGTAATGCTATAACTAGTACTGAAACAGTATTTTACACTTTGTGTTTCTGTGTGGGTGCAAACTGATGAAATCTTTACTTAATATATACTGAACTGATCTTCTGTATATAAAGATAATTGAAAATGAATCTTGATGTGAATGGAATGGGAGAGGGAGCGGGACATGGGAGGGATGTGAGTGGGAGGGAAATTATGGGGGGGGGAAGCCATTGTAATCCATTAACTGTACTTTGAAAATTTATATTTACTGAATAAAAAATTAAAAAAAAAAGAAGTTACACATGTTGTTGGTTGATCTCCATGTTCCCTTTTGGAAATTCTCAAAAAGAGCATTAAGGTGATGGTGATGACAGCTTCCAATCTGTAGCTCTAAAATATACTCTTGATTATGGATTGGAACTCTGAATCAAAAAGAGTTTTAAAGGAAGAAAATGAAGAATCAAGCTGCCTATTGCAATATTTAAAAAATTCTTCCTAATCTAGATTCTGAGGTAGAAACTAGCTAGACTCTTTCCAAAACACTTGTCTGTATATTAATAATCAGTCCACTAAGTGATAACTCTAGCAGTATCCATTTCATAGGCTTGCTAAATATTGAATAAAACAATCAAATCATCATTTGGCTTATGATACAACTACCAAATTGCTCTGAAAAAAGTTCAATGAAATATTTCATTTCACAATATAGAATGACCTAGGAAATAAAACTAAGGACTCTTATGGGGGAAAATGATAAAATGTCATTTTCTTGACTACTGATTTAAACTGGATTTTAAATCAGTCTATTTTAAATCAAATTCACCTAGAGTAGACATTAAATCATACAGAAGAGACAAAACTCAATTATTCCAATTGGGAATATCCAGTTTGTGAATTATTCAAAGCCTTGCAGTATATTATCAAAGACTGAAAAAAGCAGAAGGAAACCCAAAAGCTACAAAACAGAAGTAACTCACATATCCTCTCATGGACCACATTTTTAGAGATTTTGCAAGTATCTAATTATACATAATGAGCTAAGAAATTAAAAACTCTTTACTGATTTTCCAGAAAGAAATTTTCTTGAAAGAAAAATATAAAATGTTGGCCGGCGCCGGGGCTCACTTGGCTAGTCCTCCACCTGTGGCACCGGCACACCGGGTTCTAGTCCGGGTTGGGGCACCAGATTCTGTCTCAGTTGCTCCTCTTCTAGTCCAGCTCTCTGCTGTGGCCCAGGAAGGCAGTGGAAGATGGCCCAGGTCCTTGGGCCCTGCACCCATGTGGGAGACCAGGAGGAAGCACCTGGCTCCTGGCTTTGGATAGACACAGTGCGCCGGCTGCAACACACTTGCCGTGGCGGCCATTTGGGGGGTGAACCAACAGAAAAGGAAGACCTTTCTCTCTGTCTCTCTCTCTCTCTCACTGTCTAACTCTGCCTGTCCTATATATATATATATATATATATATATACACATATATATATGATGTGAAAGGTAACTGTATGCATGAACAAGAACATTTTAAAAAGCTGGAGCCTGGTATATCATCTGGTAAAATGAGAATATTAATACTTCCCCCTTCACAAGTTGTATGCTATCAAATGTGCATACATATGTGTGATATATTTGATTCTTCAATACAAAATTTTTTTTGAAATTGTAAAAGCACTACATAAGCCGGCACCATGGCTCACTAGGCTAATCCTCTGCCTTGCAGCGCCGGCACACTGGGTTCTAGTCCTGGTCGGGGCGCTGGATTCTGTCCCGGTTGCCCCTCTTCCAGGCCAGCTCTCTGCTGTGGCCAGGGAGTGCAGTGGAGGATGGCCCAAGTGCTTGGGCTTTGCACCCCATGGGAGACCAGGAGAAGTACCTGGCTCCTGCCTTCGGATCAGCGCGGTGCGCTGGCTGTAGCAAGCCAGCCGCGGCAGCCATTGGAGGGTGAACCAACGGCAAAAGGAAGACCTTTCTCTCTGTCTCTCTCTCTCACTGTCCACTTTGCCTGTCCAAGAAAAAAAAAAAAAGCACTACATAAACATCATTTTATAAAACCTAAGAAATGATCCCAGGAAAAGAACAAATGATCACTATAACCATGTGAGATTGAAGTAAACATCTGTAGCAGACCCTTTACGTATCATGGAAAGAACTCTATAAAAGTCAAGTTAGGCACAAGCAGTGAATTGCTATTTAATTGGTTTTACTAGGTACTTTCAAAATAGTAAAAGCATTAAATTTTGTGTCCTGTGGGTGATTCCACAAGGCTGCCTGTCTAGCCCCTGCAGTTAGCCTAACTGCTGGCAGGTGGCAGGAGCCCCAGTCATATTTCTCTCCACCCCTGCCTTCTGCTAATCAGGTAAACTGCTCCAGGGTGTGGTCCAGGCCCACCTGGAAAGCTATCCTAGCTACATGATCTTCAAGCTGATTGCAAAGGTATATTGGCACCAGTGTTGGTTCTGTCCTATAGTATTGGTGTTGCCTTGAATTAGTTACACCCCTTCTACCTGCCCTTTAAATATACATGGTGGTGAATACAGACAGACATGTTCAATGAAGCCTGTCCATGGTGCTTCTTATGGGAAGGACACTGTTGCCCTACTCTCCCCGACAGTGTGGCTTTGCAAGACAAGCCATAGTGTCCAATTCTTTTACATATTTCAGAGTTCAGTCATAGTAGGCTAGGGTTTGCTCGTTAACTTTAACATATTCTCCTTCATCTCCCCTCATTCATCTTTCTTTAACTGCTTGCCTCTCATACATTCTTCATTGTACCCTGTGAAACCACCAGTTTGTTAGTGTGAAAACTTGATTTACTCCAAATCTAATTCTCTCATCTCCTTCTCCTTCCTTCCTCTCTTCATCTGAAATTTGATGTACTCCATAAAAAGAATTACCCTTCCTTCTCTTACCCCATAATCCCTACCCTAAGACTTTTATTCCTCAGTTATTATCGAATTAAAGTCAGGAGTAGACTGCTCTTTTCTTTGATTTCATGGCTTACCTCCAAGATAAGCTACCACTTGATCTGTACCTAACCATTCGTCTATTTAATTTCTTCCTAAATTTTCAAGTCATGAACATGCTAGATTCATCTGAGTGATTTCCACAGTAAAATGAAATTCTTCTTCTCCACTTTCTGCTTCCATCACTCATATAACTTGCTAAACTTATCAACTGTTACCAGTAGACCTTTCTTAATATCTGGATGAATCCAACAGTATGGTACTTTGGGTAGTTCCCTTTCTTCTAGATGCAATTAACTGTCAGCTATTCAGAGTTATTCCTGATCATCACAACTGAAAAAAGATCTCTTCTTCCATGTCTAATTTTAGCAAATTATACTACTCCCATGCTAACGTATTACAGGCCATTCTGATATTATAGTTGTTCCTAATATTGTCTTATCTTTCCTACCAGCCTGTAAAGTTCTTTAGCACAAAGATTAGATTGTGGTTTATTCACCTCAGGGTTTGCATAAAATAGAGCTCCATTTATTCAAGAGAATGAAGAAATCTGTGACAGGACAACAAAGATTATAAAATGGAAAACCTGATCTAGATAATCTTAAAAATAGCTTTAAATTCTTATTCTTAAATATGTGTAAGCTTCTCAAATAAGAATGTAAAAGAGTTATTTGCGGCAGTTCAAAAAATTGCTTTGATGGGGCTGGCATTGTGGCATAGTAGATTAAGCCGCCGCCCGCAGTGTCAACCTCCTATATGGGTTCAAGTCCTGGCTGCTCCACTTCCTTTTTTTTTTTTTGACAGGCAGAGTTAGACAGTAAGAGAGAGAGAGAGACAGAGAGAAAGGTCTTTCTTACGTTGGTTCACCCCCCAAAAGGCCGCTACGGCTGGCGCGCTGTGCCGATCCGAAGCCAGGAGCCAGGTGCTTCCTCCTGGTCTCCCATGCGGGTGCAGGGCCTAAGCACTTGGGCCATCCTCCACTGCCTTCCTGGGCCACAGCAGAGAGCTGGACCGGAAGAGGAGCAACCGGGACAAAACCGGCGCCCCAACTGGGACTAGAACCTGGGGTACCGGCGCCACAGGCAGAGGATTAGCCTAGTGAGCCACGGCGCCGTCCTGCTCCACTTCTGATCCAGCTCCCTGCTAACGTGCCTGGCAAAGCAGCAGAGGATAGTCCAAGTACTTGGGTTTCTGCACCACATGGAGACCCAGAAGAAGCTCTAGGCTCTAGGCTTCAGCCTGGCCCAATCCTGGACATTGAGGCCATTTGGAGAACAAACAAATGGATGGAAGATCTCTCCGTCTTTCCCTTTCTCTCGTGGCTCTGCTTTTCAAATAAAATGAATCTTTTAAAAAAAGATGAATGGATTAAAAAACAAAATCTATTTGCTGCCTACAATAAACACATCTCACCAACAAAGATACATGCAGACTGAAAGTGAAAGAATGAAAAAAATATTCCACACTAACAGAAACAAAGTGCTGCTGCAGCCATCCTATCATCAGACAAAATAGATTGTAACATAAAAACTGTTACAAGAGACAAAGAATGGCACTATGTAATGATTAAGGGATCAACTCAATAGGAAGATGTGAAAATAATATAAACACACATGCACCTAATTATAGGTCACCTGGCTATTTAAAAGAAATGTTAATGGATCTAAAGAGAGAAATAGACTCCAACACAATAGTAATGGGGGATTTCAATATGCTGCTTTCAGCAATGGACAGATCAACCAGAGAGAAAATCAACAAGGAAACAACAGAGTTAACTGACATTATAGACTAAATGGACCGAACAGATATCTACAGAAGTTTTCACCCTACAGTGGCAGAATACATACTCTTCTTGCCAGTGCATGGAACCTTCTCTAGGACAGACCACATGCTGGGCCACAAAGCAAGTCTCAGCAAACTCAAAAAAATCAAAATCGTATCATGCATCTTCTCAGACCACAATAGAATGAAACTGGACATCAACAACTCAAGAATCTCTAGGGGGCCGGCGCCGCAGCTCACTTGGTTAATCCTCCACCTGTGGCGCTGGCAACCCATATGGGCGCCGGGTTCTAGTCCCAGTTGCTCCTCTTCCAAGTCCCGCTCTCTGCTGCAGTGCGGGAAGGCAGTGGAGGATGGCCCAAGTGCTTAGGCCCTGCACCTGCATGGCAGACCAGGAGGAAACACCTGGCTCCTGGCTTCGGATCGGCACAGCGCGCCGGCCGTAGCGGCCACTTGGGTAGTAAATCAACGGAAGGAAGACCTTTCTCTCTCTGTCTCTCTCTGTCTATAACTCTACCTGTCAAATAATAAATAAATAAATAAATTTAAAAAAAAAGAGAATCTCTAGAACATATACAAACACATGGAGATTGAACAACATGCTCCTGAATGAACACTGGTTCACAGAAGAAAAAAAAAATTCTGGAAACAATGAAAAAGGAAAGGTAACAACAGATGTTACAGAAATAAAAAGAATCACAAGAAATTACTATAAAATTACTACACAGTAAGCAAAGTTGTAGATTGTGGAAGCATAACAATGGAAAAAACATGGTTGTTGCCCTCAGTGTCCCATGTCCAGTGTGTAGCCTTTTTCTAATTACCTCTGTTGAAAGTGGACTCCTTTTCTCAGTGATTAAAACTCACAATCTTACATGTATCTTGTAACAGATAACGTGTGTGTGAGTGTGTGTGTATTTGCCTCTATTGTCAAAATTTGAACTTTAGATTCTTAGGGGCAAAAACCATGTCCTTTTGTCTTCCTAAAAGAGTTTTCATATTATGAGTACTCAAATTATTTTCTTGATTGGAATGTTGGCAGGAAAAATTAAAAATGGACATACTCTGTATCACGAAAAAATTATCCCTCAGAAAATGTACTTAAGGATTATAATGTGCATGTTAGAAATCAGCTGTTACAGCCATAAAGAGAGATTAACCTTTAATAAACAGAATAGAAAAGGTTTATCAAGGGGCTGGCACTGTGGTGCAGTGGGTTAAAGCCCTGGCCTGCAGCCCTGACATCCCATTTGGGAGCCAGTATCTCATATGGATGCCAGTTCAAGTCCTGGTTGCTCCGTTTCTGACTCAGCTCCCTGCTAACTGTGCCTAGGAAAGCAGCGGGGAATGGTCCAAGTCCAAGAAGAAGCTCCTGGCTCCTGGCTTCAGATCAGGTCAGCTCAGCTCTGGCCGCTGTAGCTATTAGGGGAGTGAACCAGCAGATGGAAGATGTCTACCTTTCTGTAACTCTTTCAAACAAAGGAAAATAAACCTTTTTTTTTTTTTTTTAAAGGGCTTATCAGCTAGCAAAGAGAAAGAGATGAAGTAGAGAAAATCTGAAATAAAAACATAAAATTTTGGGTCTGGCCTATGGCGGAGCAGGTAAAGCCGCTGCCTGCAGTGCCGGCATCCCAAATGGGCGCTGATTCAGGTCCCATCTGCTCCTCTTCCTATCCAGTTCTCTGCTATGGCCTGGGAAAGCAGTGGAGGATGGCCCAACTCCTTGGGCCCCTGTACCCATGTAAGAGACCTGAAAGAAGCTCCTGGCTCCTGGCTTCGAATTTTCTCAGCTCTGGCTGCTGCAGCCAATTGGGGAGTGAACCAGCAGATAGAAGACCTCTCTCCCTCCCTCCCTCTCTCCCACCCTCCATCTCTCTCTCTCTCTAGCTCTCCTTCTCTGACTTTCAAATAAATAAATAAATCTCTAAAATGAAAACACAAAATTTTGACCGGTGCCATGGCTCACTTGGTTAATCCTCTGCCTGTGGCACCGGCACCCTGGGTTCTAGTCCCGGTTGGGGCGCCGGGTACTAGTCCCAGTTGCTCCTCTTCCAGTCAAGCTCTCTGCTGTGGCCTGGGAGGGCAACGGAGGATGACCCAGGGCTTGGGTCCCTGCACCTGCATGGGAGACCGGGAGGAAGCACCCAGCTCCTGACTTTGGATCGGCGCAGTGCTGGCCGTAGCGGCCATTAGGGGAGTGAACCAACAGAAGGAACACCTTTGTCTCTCTCTCACTGTCTATAACTCTACCTATCAAAAAAAAACCCACAAAATTTTAAGAAATATTTTTCATCTCAAAAGAAGGGCAGGAAAAAAAATCAGAAGTCTTACAGCTAAGTAACTTAAATATAGCTTATTATTTAACAACAATTTAAGAACACAGACATTTTTAGGGGTCTCAACAAGCAAAGTAACTTACCTCATTAACTCCTCTACTTTATCATCTACATCTAAGTCCTCTTCTGAGGCTTCAAAACTGTATGACCTCTGACCCATGCTGTTTGCATGGTAGCGAGTTGGTGACATCTTTCCATTGGATGTGGACAATCGCTCATTATTTTCCCTCCCATTTTGATTGGTAGTACAAGGCTGAGGGGAGGTATCATAACTGTTGCTGGGTGAAGGGGACATTCCCGAATGCTGAGTCTGTGTGGAAGCTGTAGCTGTAGAAGAAGATGCCGGAACATTGTTGGTACTGTTCCCGTATGTACTTCCTCCATAGCTGGACCTTCTTCCAAACTTGTCACTATGCTCTTGATCAAGACGGTCTAAAGTTTCCAAAGCATGGAGAATTTCATGTTTAGTCATCCCAGTACGCCGAAGGCGCTGAAGCAGATCTATCTGCTCTATGGTAAATCTGGGTTCATCTGTATAGTGAGACATGGTTTCCAGCAAACTAAAAAAAAAAAAAAAGAAAAATAAGTATCTTTATCGACAATATTTATCAAGGCATATGTCATTATGAAGAATGCAGTATTTCTACATTAACTTGTTTTCTTTTCTACATCTACTTCTTAATTAAAAGCAGCAAAACATGGGGCCAGAGTTGTATGTTATAGTGAAGCAGGTAAAGCTGCCACCTGTGACACCAGCAACCCATATGGACACCGGTTCATGTCCCAGCTGCTCTATTTCCAAACCAGCTCCCTGTTTATGCCCTGGGAAAAGCAGCAGAAGACGGCCCAACTGCTTGGGCTCCTGCCACCCACATGGGAGACCCAGAAGAAGCTCCTGACTCCTGTTCTGGCTGTAGTAGCCATCTGTGGAGTGAACCAACAGATGGAAGATCTCTCTCTGCCCCCCCACCAACCCTCTCTCTTTGACTTTCAAATAAATAAATCAATATTTTTAAAAAACAAGTTGTAAAGGGCCAGTGCTGGGATACAGTGGGCTGAGGCCCCAGTTTGCAGGGCTGGCATTCCATATGGGCGCCAGTATGACTCCTGGCTGCTCCATTTCCGATCCAACCCCCTGCTAGTGCACCTGGGAAAACAGCGGAGGATGGCCCAAGTCCTTGGGCCTGTGCACCCATATGGGAAAACTAGAAGAAGCTCCTGGCTTTGGATTGGCTCAGCTCTAGCCACTGTGGCAATTTGGGAAATGAAGCAGTGGATAAAAGACCCCCCACCCCTCTCTCTTTCTCTAACTCTGTCTTTCAAATAAGTGAAATAAAGCTTTAAAAATAAAATAGTAAGATATGTCCCACATCAGAATGTTTTTGCCATGGCAAATGGATTGTTACAGGTATTGAGTTGATTAGCAGGTGAAAACTAAAAATAACAAAACTCATTTTTTTCTTTTTTTTTTTTTTTATATTTCTTTATTTTACTTGAAAGTCAGAGTTACACAGAGAGAGAAGAAAGGCAGAGAGAGAGAGGTCTTCCATCTGCTGGTTCACTCCCCGATTGGCCTCAATGGCCGGAGCTGCACTGATCTGAAGCCAGGAGTCTTGTCCGGGTCTCCCACGCAGGTGCAGGGGCCCAGGTACTTGGGCCATCTTCTTCCGCTTCCCCAGGACATAGTAGAGAGCTGGATGGGAAGTGGAGTAGCCAGGACTCAAACCAGCACCCATATGGGATGCTGGCACTGTAGGCAGTGGCATCACCCGCTAGGCCAAAGTGCTGGCCCCAAAACTCAATTTCATATGGCATGCAATATACATTTTCCTCAATTCTGGTAAGCATTCTGAACAAAATTTTAGTTACGACAATAATACCAAACAATAGATGTAGATTAAGTACATATAGATCATTAAGCCCAGGCTATGTGATAACTAACAGGTCTTTGTTTTTTCCATTTTCAATATGTTATTTTTCATTAGAGTATTAATGAAAAGTTGCTGACCAAATATCTGCAAAGTAAAACTGAGAACTCTATGTATAACTTCACTTAGTGAAAACAAATGATTTGCTAAGCAAATACTTATAAGCAGTAAAATTATTTAAGTGGAAAATAAAAGAGGTTTATAAAAAAACTTATTAAGTACGATTCATCCACTACTTAGCAATTTCATCAGTTTTTCATTTCTGTAATGCATTCTCTCTTAATCCTGAAAAATGGATCTTCTACGGTAGCAGCCAAACCAAGCCATTTATTTTTCTTAAGAAATTGCTTCTATGTTTTCTCTACTTAAGATATTGCAGCACACCAGAAAATATTTTCTTAGAGTGAGTAACAAACATATTAAGAGTTGTCAAATATAAAAATTCTCACTAGTTGAATTTTCTATGAAATCTGATTTTTTTTATATTAAAGATATTTGAAAGTGGTAATCTCTTCTATTTTAATTTTTATTGTTCTAGCACCAAACAGGATGGATGGCATGCAGTAGCCTGTTAATAAGTTTGCTGATGGAGCACATGTCAAGGAATTTTCTATTCCTTTACAGGTAACTGTCAATTTGGGGCCAGTTCCTATAAGCTATTGCAGACCTCATTGTCCACTGTCTCTTTAGCCCTCTTCAGGGGGTGGGAAATGTCTGGCCCACAGGTTGTATAAGGCTTGGGAAATCATTTGTTCTGGCCCTGCCAAGGAAACGGCAGGAGAAACTCAAAGTTCAGTAATTTCTGTAATTACTATAATTACAGTAAATCTATAGCAGGCTAATTTTTAGGTTCATGATTTTATATGGCCCATGAATGATACTGTAAATATCCAATTGACCCCTTGGCAGAAAAAAAAGATTCCTTATGCTTATATACTGTACTAAAAATTTACTGAACCTTCACTTCTAGGGAAGAACTTGATAAAGAGTTTCTTAAAATGTAATCTCATCTAATTCTAATAGCAACCCTCTGTGGTAGCTATTATTTATTTTATTTCATTTCATATTGATAGGTAGATGAACTGCTAAAGAAATATAGGCTCAGGGGCCGGCACTGTGGCTCAATAGGCTAATCCTCCGCCTTGCGGCGCCGGCACCCTGGGTTCTAGTCCCGGTTGGGGCGCCGGATTCTGTCCCAGTTGCCCCTCTTCCAGGCCAGCTCTCTGCTGTGGCCCGAGAGGGCAGTGGAGGATGGCCCAAATGCTTAGGCCCTGCACTCGCATGGGAGACCAGGGAGCACCTGGCTCCTGGCTTCGGATCAGCGCGGTGCGCTGGCCACAGCAGCCATTGGAGGGTGAACCAACAGAAAAGGAAGACCTTTCTCTCTCTCTCTTACTGTCCACTCTGCCTGTCAAAACAAAACAAAACAAAACAAAACAAAAAAAACACAAAAAACAAAAAACACCATAGGCTCAGAATAGTTATGTCCTTGCAAAAAGTCTAAGAAATAGAAAAAAAGATTTAAGCCTAGATTTTATTGACTCCTAAAGCTTACATCATTCTGCTTTCCAATATTGTGGGAATTACTGGAATCATGAGATCTGGACATAGGCTGTTATATTCCTTTAAAGGAGTTTCCAGTTAATATAATTTAGTTGAAACAACTGGTAGTAGTAACATCTTTGTTCCATCTAGATTTTATATTTACTTATTAGGTACAAAAGGATTTGGGCTTTATTTCATTCGAAACAGAGAGTTAGGTGTCCAAAATGTTTTAATGAATAATGTATTGCTTCTCCTTTGATATGAAAAGTCATTTTTTTTAAAGATTTTAGTTATTTGAAAGACAGAGTTACAGAGAGAAATAGAGACAGAGAGAGAGGTCCTCCATCCACTGGTTCACTCCTCAGATGGCCACAACGGCCAGAGCTGTGCCAATCCTAAGTCAGGAGCCAGGAGCGTCCTCTGGGTCCCCGACGTGGGTGCAGGGGCCCAAGGACTTGGGCCATCCTCCACTGCTATCCCAGGCCATAGCAGAGAGCTGGATTGGAAGAGAAGCAGCTGGAACTAGAACCGGCTCCCATATAAGATGCCTGCACTTCAGGCCAGGGCTTTAACCCACTGTGCCACAGCGCCGGCCCCGAAAACTCTTTTATAATATGCAAAATTTCCATATGAACCTGTTATCTACCTTTCGATTCTCTTTTCTATTCTACTAATTGGTTTGTCTTTCAAATCCTTTTAAAACTTAGTTGGCAGGGGATGTGCTGTAGCATAGTAGGTTGCGGCCTTTGCCTGTGGCACTGGCATCCCATATGGGCACTGGTTCATGTCCCTACAGCTCCTCCTCTGATCCAGCTCTCTGCTATATCCTGGGAAGGCAGTGGAAGAAGGTTTAGATGCTTGGGCCCCTGCACCCACATGAGAGACCCAGAAGAAGTTCCTGGCTCCTGGCTTCAGATTGGTCCATCTCCAGCCACTGAGGCCATTTGGGGAGTGAACCAGAGTATGGAAGACCTTTCTCTCTATCTGTCCCTCGGTCTGTCTGTAAATCTGCCTCTCAAATAAATAAAAATCTTTAAAAAGAAAAACTTAGTTGGCAGAAATATAGAATTTTATGTGAAATCTCACTAGCTTTAAAAACCGATTCTCTAAAAACAAAACAAAAAACATTTTGAGGACTCAAACTAATATGTAGGTCCATAGGCTACAATATTTATCCTACACCTATGTGTATTATGGTCTGCATTTTTTCAAATGTTCAATTATGACAAACTACCTACCTATTATATATGATAAATGAAAGATTTATTTTCATGATTACTAGACTCTTCATTGCTTTGGTTCTCTCTTTCCTAAATTTTATAATGAAAAATTTTATTAACAGAGAAAAAATTTACAGTGAATACTCATCCATATACTAACAACTTAGATTTTTATCATTCACTTTTTATGACATACTATCACATAGAAAGGGTCTCAGAAAGTCCAAGTAAACTGTGTATTATCTTTTAAATATATTTTCCCACAAACTTTTTGAGTTCCTGCATATCTATCCATTCTCTTTTCCAACCATTCCTAATTTATCACACTATTTGGAAGAATTTCAAAATCAGTTACAAACATCTGACACTTCTCCCTAAAAGCTTCAGTATGCATATTATTAACTGGTGCTGCTCAATATTCACTCAGCTTTTTTTCTTTATGGAGGCAAAATTGGCATAACAGAAAGTGTACAAATCTCATGATTACCATTCTAAGGGTGTTGATAAATACAAACACTTTTGAAATTCAAATCCGCATTGAACATACAGAATATCTTCATCAAAGGCCAGCATTGTGTAGTGGGTTAAGTCACTACTTATAATGCTGACATCCCATGAGTGCCAGTTTGTGTCCCAGATGCTCCACTTCTAATCTAGCTCCCTGCTAATGTGCCTGGGAAAAGCAGAAGATGGCCCAAGTGCTTGGGTCCATATACTCATCTGGGAAACCTAGATGAAGCTCTTGGCTCCAGGCTTTCGCCTGGCCCAGACCAGGTCATTAGGGCAGTGAGCCAATGGATTGAAGATTTCTGTCTCCCTTTCTCTCTGTAACTCTACCTTTAAGTAAAATAAATCTTAACAAATGTC